GCATAGGTAATGGGGAAAAAAATAAGAACTAAGATACATCATGTTCAGGTACAAACACCCAATGATAAATGTAAATGTACTGTATACCTAAAATGTACCAATTAATATACAAAAAAAAAGAATAATGAAATTGGTCTATTGTGTGGAGATTTCTTTTTCCTGGCCTTCTAATCAAGATTACTGCTTGGAAAAAGACATTGAAACTCCTTCAATTTAAGAGACTACATGCCTGTAATTGATGTTATCTTAGTGTGTTGCTGGATTCCTCTACTATGTAGTATTTTTACCCCATTAGTAGTGCACCTTTTAATGTTGGCAGTCTGGGGCAAAGATGGGCTTTTTAAAAAAATTTAGAACCAGGTTTTTTTTCATAATATCTTAAGTGAAAGTTACACAAATACACAGTATATGAAAATCACTTTCTGAGCTAAAGCAGTAGCATTGTGACCATTTTTTCCTCCTTTACAGATACTTTGCAAAAGACTTAATTTGGCATTTTATTTTGTTTCACTTTTTTTTGGGGGGGGTACCAGGGATCCAACACAGGACCTTACGCTTGCAAGGCAGCCAGCAGAACCACTGAGCTAAATCCCTGACCCTCACTTCACTTTATTTTTAAATAGCACCAATCTTATTTCTTTTTCTCTTGAAAATAAAAGGGACAAGCATGGGTTTCTTATGACTACAGAGTGAGGAGTGCCACCCTGGTGATGTCTTCTAAGTTTCCCTTCTCAGCACCATCTGAGGGTTAAGCTCTTGAAGGTTTGTTTTACTTCTGTCCTCTCATGGATCTTAGTTTGAACACTCTAGGATCAAGGTATTTAAAAGCCAGCCCCTCATATTATTTCAGTCAACCTTTATCATATAAGAAATCTCAAAGGACAAGGTAGCTCCTGTTTGGTTGCCTCTCCACTTCATCATACCTTTCACAGGCTCTCTAGCATCATGACACATTCAGCCTGAGACACAGAATCCCTGTATTTCACCACAATTCTCTCATATTTCTCTCCTTTGAAGGCTCCATGACATCTGTTCTAAGGGTTGTTTTTGAATGATTTAACATTTAAATTCATGTACTAAATAAAATAGATTGCCTTCCATAATTTGGGTGGGCCAATTTTGAGCAGTTATAGGACAACTAAACTGAAAAGGCTGAGAGAAAACGCTTCTTCCTGCCTACCTCAGAACTGGGACATTGATGTTTTTCCTGTCTTTGGAGTTACATTAAAATACCGATTTTTCCTGGCTGTCAAACCTGTCAGCCAGTAGACTGGATATACAAGGGTTGATTAAAATATATGGTGAGTGTTTACATTAAAAATTATTACACTAAAATACACATTGAAATCATTTATGCCACTATTCTTGGCACTTTATAAAGCAGTTTTTGAAAGTCCTCTTTCTTATTTTTGTGAGCTGTGATCAAAAGTATGGTGTGTTTTGCTGCCAAGTGCCATCCATTAAAAGAAAGGCTTGTAAAAATATTTCCGTGCGTCCTCATTCACCTTATTCACTGGATTGGCATGCTGCAACTTCTGATTCCTCCCCAACATCAAAATGACCATGAAAGGTAAATATATTGAATCAATTCAGGACATCAAGGCAGCCATGACAAAACAGCTAAAACCACAAAAGAGTATTTCCAAAACTGCTTCAGAAAATGTCAAGAATATACTACTAGTTTCTCTTAGTTCATTGAAAATAAAAATTTTGTGCTATTATCCGTTTGTTTCTTTTTTGTTAAGAAAGGATCTTTTATGTCTACATCCTGTACTCCAAGTAACTACTTTGAAGATAGTAATACACAGTGCATTACCTATTGTTATTCTTATGTTATGAAATTTTATTTTCACATAAAATAGAAAAAAGAATGATTAGATGAGTGTATTCAAAGCAAGGGCGATTATTTTGAGGGGGATTAATTGCAATATCTCTTTTACTGTAACTTTAAATTTAAATATTTCCCATATGTTTCCATGACCTGGTGTACCGTCAGCTCTCCTGGGCCTCCAGCTTGCTGCCTTCGGCTCTGGGGACTTGTCAACCCCATAATCATGTGAGCTTCATGGCAAATCCTTTTTCTCTCCCTTCTGCTTCTATTTCTCTGGAAAAGCCTCACTACTGCATCATCGTTTTGTCTTCCCACATTTCTTTTGGAACAATACTGGTTGCTGATATCTGAAAGTTCAGAATCTACACTCTGCCTCCCTGCTTGAATCATTTGATTTCATTTCTCTATTGTTCCTGACTCAAGCGTATAAGGGCTTAAACTTGTGGAACAGAGTCTTCCTCTTTGTCTGCTGTGCGGTCTCAGTACGGAGGCTGGTAGGTCCTGGAACGTCTGAATGAGGAGTGAGAAGAGGAGAAAGAGTAAAAGGAAGGAATTATTTTGATTTGTGTTTTGATATACTACCAAATGATTAATTATTTTAAGAGAAGATGTATATACTTTTCAGGTATTTTAAGTCTATCAGAAGCCTAAATTGAGTGCAGGTTTTAGGGACAAGAGTCAATATCCATGATTGTATCCATCATTTATGGAGTCCTTTAATGTGGCAATCAGCCTGATAGTGATTTTCTTGCATTTTCTCATTTCCACTCTAGAAATACAGAGCCAGAGGTGCCATTTTCTCTTTATGATTCCGTAGAAAACTGGAACTTTGCAAAATTATTTTGCCCAAATGGACCAAATTAGAAATTAGTGGGTCCAAGAATATTAGTGGAATTCAGGAAATTCAGATTTCTTTCCAACATCCATGTTCTCCTGTATCGCTCTTTCTTAAACTTCAGTGGGCACCTGCATCACCTGGGGACCTTGCTAACATGCAGATTCTGGGCCCTAGATATTTTTTTCAATAAAGATCTTGCTATAGTTCAGGCTATCCTTGAACTCATGTTCTTCCTGCCTCATCCTCCTGGGTGTTGAGATTACTGGCATGTGCCACTACACCCAACTAAGATTTTGCGTTTCTAACAGTTTCCAGGGGATACTAATGCTTAATTGGTTTTCTTTAATTCTTTTATTGGTACATTTTAGGTATACCACACATTTACTTTTCTCTTTGGGAACTTGTACCTTTACATGATGCATCTTTGTTCTTATTTTTTCCCCATTCCTAGGACTCCATTCCCTATTTACAAAGACTTTATTTCCATTTTTTCCATTTCTCATTATTTTTCCTTTCCATTCTTTCCTTTCCCCTGCCCCTCCCACTACCCCTACCCCTTTGAACCTTTTCTTCCTATTTC